TTTATAGAACTTTTAATAGAATGGCACTTTGAAGTCAGGGACTCATGAGCTCAAGATTGGCTCAGTTACTTTCCCTGTGATCTTGGACAGGTTATTTGCCCTTTCCAAGCTTTAGCTTTTCCCATTTGTCAAATATGAAATGTAGGTAGTTACACTTAGAGTACGTGCTAATGCGGGGTGCCTGGGTGGTTCAGTTGGTTGAGCATATTACTTTCTATATAGCGTAAGTTCTTAACAGATATTCTTGAATCTAAGTAGTAGTTCGAAATAAGAATTATGTAGAATTATCAGGTCAAATAGGTAAAGGGTTTTAGAAATTGTTTTAGTGTATTTCCATTATGACATTAATACTTCATAGAAAGTTTGGAAAATAAAGAAGCAGCAAAAGAAGAACATTCAGGAGTATGCAGAATTCTTGGCAGATTCTTTCAGATTTCTTTCCAAAAGAGTTTCCTGCTATACTGTTGCCAGCAGTGCTTGAGTGGTCCTGTTTCTTCTCCGTTTTGCCAGAATTTAAAAATTTTATAATTTGATAGATGATAGAAGTATCTTTAATTCCATTTATTTGATCTATTAATTACTCTCCACTGAGTTGTAATGTTGCCTTTCTCGTGTTCAATTCTTACATACTAGGTTAAGTTTCTGAACATTGTCCATTTATGTTTATTTTTGTATTCCTAGTATAACGATTTTAACTCCCATACTTTATTTTTAATTTAATTTTTAAATTTTAATTCCAGTATAGTTAACATCTGGTGTTATATTAGTTTCAGGTGTACAAAATAATGATTCAGCAATTCTGTATATTACTCAATGCTCATTAAGATAAGTGTACTCTGAATTCCCTTCACCTGTTTCAGTCATTCCCCCCGCCCCCCCAACCTCTCCTCTGGTAACTATCAGTTTGTTCTCTGTAGTTAAAAGTCTGTTTTTTGGTTTGTCTCTCTTTTTTTCCCCTTTTCTTCATTTCTATTGTTTCTTAAATTCACATATGCATGAAATCACATGGTATTTGTCATTCTCTGACTGACTTACCTCACTTAACATTTTACTGTCTAGATCCATCCATGTTCTTGCAAATGGCAAGATTTCATGCTTTTTTATGGGTAAATAATATTCCTCTGTGTGTTGGTGTGTATATACACTACATCTTCTTTATCCATTCATCTACTGATGGACCCTTGGACTGCTTCCATAATTTGGCTATTGTAAGTAATGCTGCAGTAAACATAGGGGTGCATATATCTTTTTGAATTACTGTCTTCATGTTCTCCAGGTAAATATCCAGTAGTGGAATTACTGCACCATATGGTAATTTTATTTTTAATATTTTGAGGAACCTCCATACTGTTTTCCAGAGTGGCTGCACTAGTTTGCATTCCTACCAGCAGTGCACAAGGGTTCCTTTTTCTCTGCACCCTTGCCAATGCTTGTTTCTTGTGTTTTTTATTTTAGCCATTCTGACAGGTGTGAAGTGATATCTTATTGTGATTTTGATTTGCATCTCCCTGAAGATGAGTGATGTTGAGCATCTTTTCATGTGTCTTTTGGCCATCTGTAGGTCTTCATGGGAGAAACGTCTGTGCATGTCTTCTGCCCTTTTTTCAATCAGATTGTTTTTTTGGTGTCGAGTTGTGTAAGTTCTTTATACATTTTGGATACTAACCCCTTACTGGATATGTCATTTGCAAATATCTTCTCCCATTCAATAGGTTGTCTTTTTGTTTTATTGATTGTTTCCTTGGCTGTGCAGAAGCTTTTCATTTTGATGTAGTCCCAATAGTTTATTTTTGCTTTTGTTTTTCTTGCCTCAGGAGACAGATCTAGAAAAATGCTGCAATGGCTGATGTCAGATTATTGCCTGTGCTCTCTTCTAGTATGTTTATGGTTTCAGGTCTCAACATTAAGGTCTTTAATCCATTTTGAGTGTTTGTATATGGTGTAAGAAAGTGATCCAGCTTCATTCTTTTGCATGTTGCTGTCCAGTTTTCCCAGTACCATTCATTGAAGAGACTGTTTCCCACTGTATACTCTTGCCTCCTTTGTTGAAGATTAATTGACCACATAATCAGGGGTTTTTTTCTGAGCTTTCTATCCTGTTCCATTGATCTATGTGTCTGTTTTTGTGCCAGTACCATACTGTTTTGATTACTACAGCTTTGTAATATAACTTGAAATCTGGGATTGTGACACCACCAGCTTTGTTTTTCTTTTTCAAATTTGCTTTGGCTATTTGGGGTCTTTTGTGGTTCCATACGAATTTTAGGATTGTTTGCTATAGTTCTGTGAAAAATGCTGTTGGTGTTTTGATAGGGTTTACATTAAATCTGTAGATTGTTTTGGGTAGTATAGACATTTTGATAGTATTTGTTCTTCCAGTCCATGAGCATGGCATATCTTTCCATTTGTATCATCTTCAATTTCTTTCATCAGTATTTTATAGTTTTCATAGTACAGGTCTTTCACCTCCTTGGTTAAGTGTATTCCTTGGTATTTTATTATTTTTGGTGCAGTTGTAAATGAGATTGTTTTCTTAATTTCTCTTTCTGCTACTTCATTTTTAATGTATAGAAATGCAGTGAGTTGGGGCGCCTGGGTGGCTCAGTCAGTTAAGTGTCCAACTCTTGGTTTCATCTCAGGTTATGATCTCATGGGTCATGAGATCAGGCCCCGTGTTAGACGCTGTGCCCAGTGGGGAGTCTGCTTGAAGATTCTCTCCCTCTGACCCTCCCCCCAATTGTGCCCTTTCTCTCTCTCTCTCTCTCAAATAAATAAATAAATCTTAAAAAAAATGCAATAGATCTCTGTAAATTGATTTTATTTCCTGAGACCTTACTGAATTCATTTATCAATTTTGTAGATTTGGCGGGGAGTTTTTAGGGTTTTCTATATATAGTATCAGATCATCTACAAATAGTGGAAGTTTTACTTCTCCCTTCCGGGTTTGGATGCCTTTTATTCCTTTTTCTTGTCTGATTGCTCTGGCTAGGACTTCCAGTACTATGTTGAATAAAAGTGGTGAGAGTGGATTTCCTTGTCTTGTTCCTAATTATAGGGGAAAAGCTCCCTATTTTCCTCATTTAGGGTGATGTTGCTGTGGGTTTATCATATATGGGCTTTTTTTTTAATGTTGCTAACTCCTGTAACTTTAAATATATTTACTATATGACAGGACTAGTATTCTTCATTTGTTTTTATATTTTTTCATGAACTAAGATATTTTTATATTAGTTTTCATATATCTTTGGGTTTTTATATTCTTTTTAGAGCTCTCTCTCTGGGTTTTTTTTTTTTTTTTAATGTTATGTAAATCACCATACATTACATCATTATCTCTCTGGTTTTTGGGTGAAACAGTCACTCATGTACCTAATTGCTTGTATGTGACTTTTCTTAACAGAATAACTCCTATCCTAGAAATACCTCTTTCTGTCCCCCAACTTCTGATTTTGGGCTTTGTTGGGGTTTTTTTTGTTTTGTTTTGTTTTTTGACTTCTGATTCTAATGGTAGATCTATAACCTAGCTGTAAGGGTTCCAGTTTGCAGACCTGGCAAATGGAAAAAATTAGAACAACTTATTATGTGTGTTGCATGTAAGCACACACATGCTGAGTATATATGTGTGTATATGTATATATGTTATATATATGTCTGTATGTTTAAGGTTGCCAACTAGTATTTCTTGAGAAGGATTGTTGTTTTGAGATTATGTCTTTAATGGCCTTACTTAGCAAAATAAAAAAAGGGTTGTCACCTTGTATTGGTCTTCAGAATTGTTTTTGAAATTTACCTAACTTGTAAGAGCTTAAAATATGGGAACCACTGCTTTATCTCACACCATAATGACTTTCTTGGTGGTAATGGTGTAGTGGTGTTTTGTCCCCCCAAAAGCATACAATGAAGTCATAGCTTATGGGGGTTAGGTTTTTTAACATCTGTATGTAATACAAATATAACATTTAGTCAGAATTACTTTTACAAATTATGTTGGTGACATCTCTCAGCAGGTCCAGCATAACCATTTTTTCCATCAAACACTGGAACAGATCATTTCTTTGCATGGAAATAAGATAGAACAGTTTGTTTTTATTTAAGGGCCATGTTGCACAAAACTTATCCATCTTTCACCATTAGAATCACTTTACATTGAGAGATACGCACTGAGAATTGAAACTGAATAAGAGATTCACATCTTGCATCCCATGCTTCCTGCTGGACTTACTCTGTTTCAGTGGTGGCCTGTTGGTAGGCAGAATCCTTACTGCTTACTGTTTTCCTTACTCTTTCTGAGCATTTTCTTCCTCATGGCCCACTCCTGTGCTAAAAAACAATCAGGGGTCAGGAGGTGTTAGGAAGATGCTTAGAAAGTATAGTTAAATTTGAGTGAATATATTTGAATATCTAAAATGAGTCTTAGAGACTGAACTAAACACTTGTTTTAGTAGTGCCACAATAATATTAGTAGGTGTCCTGCTCACCTAAACTACTTATAACAAGCTTATATATGACTTTTAGTATACAGGTAACATTTATACCAAAGATAGAATGAGTTCTTTATAACTATAATAAAGGCTTCTTTAAGTATGACATGAATGGGGTGCCTGGGTGGCTCCGTCAGTTAAGCGTCTGCCTTCGGCTCAGGTCATGATCCCAGGGTCCTGGGATCGAGCCCCTTGTGGGGCTTCGTGCTCAGGGGGAGTCTGCTTCTCCCTCTCTCTCTCCTCCTTCCCCCTGCTCATGCTCTCTTTCTCTCTCTCAAATAAATAATAAAATCTTCTTAAAAAATAAAGTTACTTTGTCCCCTCCTTTTCATACCCTACTCTTTGAGAGCAAGTCCCTAAATACAATTTAACATTCAAAGTATGGGGGGACTTAAATTCAACCTCTTGAAGGTCGGGATTATCTAAAGAAATTACTTGGAATTCTTTTGACAGGTATTTTTTAAGTTTATGGAAACAGCATGAGTACTGAGATCAGTCTAACATATCTGTTTTTTGCAGGGTGGGAAACCCCGTAAACACCGGAAGGATCGGCTACAAGATTTAATTGATATAGGCTTTGGCTATGATGAGACAGATCCATTTATTGATAACTCAGAGGCTGTGAGTAATGTATCTTTAATATAGCAGCAATTCTTTGTTTGGGATAGAAGTCAAGGATAAAGTTACTAAAATAGTTCAGTACTTGTTTTTACTAACCAATCTTTTGTTGATGTACATCTAAATTGTTTCCACTTTTATGTGCTTACAAACAGTTGAGCATCTGTGTACATTTATCTTTGTGTACTTGAGTAAATATGTAAGATAATTAGTGCAAATATATGTATAGGAGAAATTTCTAGCAGTGGGATTTACTGATCAAGGGTATTTACATCTTGAATTTTTATTGATATTTCCAAACTTGGGCAGGTGTATTTTCAATTGACCTGTAGATAAGAACTATATGAACTTGAAGATTGGAGCTACTGGGTGGAAATTAATCTGGCAGACATCTTTAAAATGTACTTTGTTTTTTTGTTGCTGCCAACCCTTACTACACTGGTGGTGATTGAATGCCATCCTTTACTGCCTGTCTGTTTTGATCACACCCTGCAGCTTTTCCCCTGGAGTCCTCTTTCTCTTATAAAATGAAGAGGAATTTAGGAAAGCATTTAAGGACTGTAGCAGTCCATTGATCACATAGCAAGTGAAAGAAGGCATATCGTGTTTGGGAGTAGGTAAAAGGTACATGTTCTTACATTCTTCTCAGTGCACTAAAGTAATCTAAACCCTGGACTTACGGTATCCTCTGCATTGTACAGTGATTACTTAGAATATACAGAAAGTGACACCAAGGTAAGCATTGTAGTATTACCCACAAATCAGTATTTTTTTTTCCTGGCTTCTATAGATGAGTACAAGGCATACAGTGGTAGGAGAGTGATACGTAGAACTTCCAGCAGGGCATAGTGGATACCCTGTGATACTCCTAAGTTATTTTAGTGTCTTGACATAAACTGGTTTACCATACCAGATAGCCTGGTCTATAGGAGTAAAATACTGACAATGCCCTTTGGAGTAGAGAAGTCTTCTTGTTTTACCAGAAAGGTTGACAAACCGGGCGCCTGGGTGGCTCAGTTGGTTGGGCGACTGCCTTCGGCTCAGGTCATGATCCTGGAGTCCCAGGATCGAGTCCCGCATCGGGCTCCCCCTGCTCGGCGGGGAGTCTGCTTCTCCCTCTGACCCTCCTCCCTCTCATGCTCTCTGTCTCTCATTCTCTCTGTCTCAAATAAATAAATAAAATCTTTAAAAAAAAAAAAAAAAGAAAGGTTGACAAACCTTTTTGTAGGTTAAGGGATAGAATGTTTTTAAGAGTCTTGACCTTGATATGAAACACAAGTCAAAATTCCTAGATTCTAGACTTGACTCGGTTTCTAAAGATTTCTAAGGAAATCTTGTAGCATTACCCAGTTTTCTCTGCTACAGTCAAAATATTTGAATAAAGTGTTTTCAGACTGACTTTTGCAACCCATAATTGGATTATATATCAATTTAGAGAGTGTGGCCAACATTTTTAATGAAAATGAAGTAGAATAGAATAGGAGCTACCATAGCAAATCATAGTAGATTATGTTTTTTTTAATGTGTATATGTGTGTGTGCATGCACTGGGTTTTGATGTGTAATGTATTTTCCACTTGGGTGGTGGTGAAGAAAATTTGAAAGCTACTGCTTTAATAAATAAGGACAAATTTTGTAGGTATAAGTTGTTGTATAGAAATTTTAGAATTAGTTGCTGACATTTAGAGGACAAGGTAGGTTCCTGCTTTGTAAGAGGAAATTGAATTAGAATACATCTTGTTTATTGACTTGCCAAATAATTTTGTATCATTATCTTTAATAGATTATTGGGTTCTTTTTATGAGATAATTCAGACATAAGACAATTATAATCCAACCAGATGATTTTCTGTTCTTTTCATTGATTGTATTACCAGTAAGCTTTCACTGTTTGTAATTATTTGATAGAGAGTGAAAATAATCTGGTTCTATTTAATTGTCAGAATCATGTACTACTTATTACTATAAATACCTGAAAATAAATGCTTTTGAAGATTATTTTTAGTCTCACTGATACTGCCAAATTTTGTAAAGACTAAAAGAAAATGTTTTTCTTTATTATTAATAAATTATAATACCAGGCATGAGTAACACTTTTATTTAGGTTGTTTCTTTTAAATTTCACTAGATGTTGTCATGGTTACACAACCCCAAAGTATTGATGTTAAATGATTTCCTCTGGGTCACAATTGCCAGTCATTGAAAGGATCTAAATCCAGGTCTTCTGGTTTTCAAGTTCAGTGCTCCATTGCCTCTTAACACATTGTACTTAAAAGGCTGAATTAAATATGCATAAAGAGCTTGTTCTCCTGAGGGGTGTTCCGATAGGGAAAGCTTAGTAAAATACTGCCGCATACAGATGTTGAATATACCCATGTTGCCCTATAATGTAGTGATGAACTTGTTTCCTGTCGGAGAAGCTGCTTGGTGTAGTGGATAGTTTGAAATACAGCCAGAGCCTCTACCAGAAGCTTAAAAAATTATTCTGACAAGGTTCTTAACCTCTAAATTTGGTTTTCACTTACAAAATGGGAATAAAACTTGTCTTTTTTGCCTCAAAGGTATCAGGAGGACCAAGTGAAATAATTTATATGAAGAAGCATTGTAAATTATAAAGCAGTGTAAGGGAAAAGTACAGATGTGTTTGTCACAATTGCACATTTCCAAAAATAATTACTACAAAGTCATTTCACTTTTAATTCTCTACTCTTCACATCACTCCTTTGCTTACAGATAGTACTGGACCCTTTCTGAAGGTTTTACCCATAGGTCTTTATAATAGCCCATCATGTGAAGCAATTCATTCCTTTTCTCCCCCCCACTTCATTACTTTTTGATTCAATATGATTAAGCTGGAAATTCTTTCTTTTTCTAGTCAACCATTTAATTGAAAAGGATACAGGTTAAAAGCAAAATTTTTGTACTTAGCCTTAATATTCTTACAGTAACTAGTACATTCTCTGTATTCCTTGTCCATGGCAAAGGATTCTCCTTAAAAATCTAACTTTCTTAAAAATGTAAAATATGAAGAACCTGTAAGTAGAGTTCTGGGGACCTCCGGTAGCAGGTATCTAGCTCTGTTAGATAAGTAGTTCCTTTTTTCTCAACCACTATGGACTCCATCATTTGGTGAAGGTTGACCTTCATTTAAAGTTTGCTTTTTGTCCATTTTCATCAGGTGAGAAGTGATAAACTTTAAAATCCAAGCTTAGAGGACATCATCTTAAGTGGTATTTTAGGTCTGACCGTCAGTCTAGTTTAGATAATTTGCATCTCTTGCTCCAAGCAAAGTACCTGTCTCATTACAGTGTATGCTTACTGAACTGGGCAGTTTTTTTCTGCTTCCTTTTTAAACACACATGCTATTTTTGTTTTAAAAATTTTCACCTTGGGTGCCTGGGTGGCTCAGTCGTTAAGCGTCTGCCTTTGGCTCAGGTCATGGTCCCAGGATCCTGGGATCGAGCCCTGCATCGGGCTCCCTGCTCCGCGGGAAGCCTGCTTCTCCCTCTCCCACTCCCCCTGCTTGTGTTCCTGCTCTTGCTATCTCTGTCATATAGATAAAATCTTAAAAAAAAAATTTTTTTTTTCACCTAGAAGCTTAGAGCTAAGACAGAAGAAATAACTTTGTTATTCTTTATAATCTCCTTATGAGTAAAATTATATACTGATATGATAGGAAATGAAATTTATTCTTTGCCTGGACATTTAGTCATCTGTTTTAACTTGTTTCAATTTCTCATCAGAATCATTTGTTCTTGGGGTGCCTGGCTGGCTCAGCTGGTAGAGCATGTGACTCTTAATCTTTAGGTTGTGAGTTTGAGCCCGATGTTGGGTGTAGAGATCACTTAAAAAATACATAAAGATTTATTTAAAAAAAAAAGAATCCTTTATCATTAAGGATAGTAGTAGTGATCTTTAAATTTTTCTCAGCAGATGATAGATAGAATTTGCGTTGTTATTCCAGAATTTCCGTTCTTTATAAATACTGAGTAATCCAGGCTCATTTTTATCCCAGGTATTAACTTTTTCTAAATTTATTCCACAAACATCCTCATTGCATTCAGCTTTGTAGTTAGGATTTAAGAAAGATGCTGACATAGTGATTGAATTTCTTTGAGATGTTTATAGAATTAATAATAGCCTATGTCTAAAACCTTTTTTTTTAAAATATAGTATGACGAGTTAGTTCCTGCTTCTCTAACAACAAAATATGGAGGCTTTTACATCAACACTGGCACTCTGCAGTTTCGCCAAGCTTCAGATACTGAAGAAGAAGATACTACAGACAACCAAAAGCACAAGCCGCCCAAAGTAAGTTTATCCAGCATTGCAATAGTAATGAGTGTTCAATTAATAGGGTGTACTTTTTAAATTAACCTGTGAATGTAAGGAAAAGTAAAATGCTAACATTGTTTAATGAATCTATAGTTATTTACATGCTCTAAGGTAAAATTATGTAGATAAGGGGAAATTGATACATCATAGTAGAATTGTATTTTCTTTTAAAACTTCTCTCTCCATATGTGGTCTAATAATCTACTGTTTGGGGGTTAAGGGTAAGTTTCTAGGATAAGTTAAGACTTGGTATAGAAATAGGGGCACCTGGGTGGCTCAGTTGTTAAGCGTCTGCCTTCAGACTTGGTATAGAAATGATTAAAAGCCATTACCTTTCCTAAGATGTAATTTATAAAGCTAATTCTATGGAATGTATATATTGTTTTAGGAAACATACAGAGTGTCCTTAGTTAAGTGTTTCTTCAAGTGTGATCCAAGGACTTACTTGTACCAGAATCACCAAAATGTTTGTTAAAAACCAGGCAGTGGGGCGCCTGGGTGGCTCAGTTGGTTAAGCGACTGCCTTCGGCTCGGGTCATGATGCTGGAGTCCCGGGATCGAGTCCCACATCGGGCTCCCTGCTCAGCGGGGGGTCTGCTTCTCCCTCTGACCCTCTTCCCTCTCTTGCTATCTGTCTCATTCTCTCTCAAATAAATAAATAAAATCTTTAAAAAAATGATATTATCCTATTTATTTAAAAAAAAACAAACCAGGCAGTGTTCGTAAACTCCAAGAATCTGCATTTATAACAAGCACTCCTAATGTACACTGAACTTTGAGAGAAAACACTGCCCTGGATGGTAGATTGATAACATCAAAGAGTAACCCATTGATACTCAGATAAGTGATACATCTTCTATCATTTGCAGATTCCCAAAATAAAAGAAGATGATATTGAAATGAAGAAGCGGAAGCGGAAAGAGGAAGGGGAAAAGGAGAAGAAGCCAAGGAAAAAAGTACCCAAACAATTGGGGTACGTAAAATTAAACATTATAAGGTTACAGCATGACTAGCTGCCCTTTTAGAAAGATATATTTAGCATTAATTCATTCAGCTTAGCTGGGTCTAATTTAATACTCTATTTATAAATGACTGTTAACTTATATTTTAATAATATATTAAGTATAAGTTATTAGTAAATAGAAAGCTTTGTCATCTTAGTTTTTTTTTTTCTGCACATATATACTTTATTAAATTTTACTAGTATTCTGTAAGGGAAAAACACACAGACGAGTAGGCTACATTGAAGAAATCTTATTTTTATAAGAGAGTTAAGCCTTTAAGATATTTCCAGGTATTATCTTCAGTCATGCTTCTTACCTTTATTCTTGAACTCCAGGTAATATTCAGCCCCTACAGCTACCACAAATGCAGTAAATCCCCATTTGAATCCTTTTAACAATGCACCAACAGAGGAAACATTGTTTGCAAAGGCACCCGTGTATCTCCAAGCTCCATTGCGCCCCATGGATCCCTAGCCCGTGTGCAGTCAGCTTCTCCTGGACGGTTTCTAATGGTGTCCCTTCTATCTTCCATTGTTTATAATCTGGAAGTTCCGGAGCGCCTGGGTGGCTCAGTCGTTAGGCATCTGCCCTCAGCTCAGGTCATGATCCCAGGGTTCTGGGATCGAGCCCCGCATCGGGCTCTCTGCTCAGCGGGAAGCCTGCTTCTCCCTCTCCCACTCCCCCTGCTTGTGTTCCTTCTTTCACTGTGTCTCTCTCAGTCAAATAAATAAATAAAATCTTAAAAAAAAAAAAAACATATGTAAAATCTGGAAGTTCCAGTTTACTATGGCCATGTTCATGCCCATATCTCTGGGCCATATCTGACAGCAATCTGACCTCTCATGACACCCAGTATTCAGTGTCATCTTAGATTTTAATTAATTAATTAATATCGTATTGATTGATTGATAAGTAGAAGGCTTTATCATTTTAGAGACTCATGATGTTTTAGATCAGATTTACATATTAGTTCATTAAGTATTTTGCTCATTACAACTTTTTGCCAACAAGAACCAGCTTGAAAAGATGGTATAAACCTTGAACAAATGTTTTAAACTTTTTGTGCTAGAACTAAGCTAATTAGATGCCTGGAGATTGAGGATTGGCAGTAGTCTTTGTGTGAACAATTTATAGTTGTTTTACTATTTAAAAAGCCAGTTATTTAGCTCTGCTTCACACTTGTAACTTGTACAGTGTAACTTCACACTTGTAACTTTAGGTAATGATATTGTCTCTAAAAATCAAGTAGAATTTCTCAAAAAAGTTATAAGAATAAAATGTTTGTACCATGCATTCATAAAATTACCAGTTGTTCTTGCTTCTCCATGACTTTTTTTGGAGAACGAAGGGACAGAAACTATGAGAGGCTTGATTTTCTTCCCCTCCTTACCAGGGGAGGTGCATCTGAATTTTTTGGGTTATCAGTATTCAAAAGGATATAGGGAGGTATTTATCATCCTGTAAGCATGAGATTTTAGTGACCCTGGAGTCATTAAGTAATTAAGGAAAAACATATATTACTAATGCATTTATTATTTACAAGTAAACTTCTTTGGGAACAAAGTCTATAATGCCTTTTATTGAATTTGTCATTTTCTCAAATTCATAGCTTATTCATGCAGCAAATATTTATTAAGTACTTGTTGTATACCAGGTATTGTTGTGGTTTGGAGTATATAACAATAAATGAAACATGGGCTTCCCTTGAAGGTACAAATCATCTTTTTTGATTCTGAGTGTGCATAGAAGAATATAAGCCATAGAATGTAGAAAAGGTGTCTAGAGAAAGTGATAAACTGAAACCATCTTTTCCCCATGGTTTCTGTAGGGAGAACATTGTCATAGAAAATTACCCATATATGATTGCCTCACATGGCTGTTCCCAGAATGGAAAGTGAAAATGATCAGAAGGTAGCAGCAGATAGAATAGGGTCTAGAAAGATTTTGCATTTCTTTGGCAGTTTGTAGCACAAACCACCTGGAGTTGGAGCGCCTGGGTGGCTCGGTTGTTAAGCATCTGCCTTTGGCTCAGGTCATGATCCCACGGTCCTGGGATCAAGCCCCACATCGGGCTCCTTGCTCGGCGGGGAGCCTGCTTCTCTCTCTCCCTCTCCCCCCCCGCCCCCGCCCCGGTCCCCCTGCTTGTGCTCCTTGTCAAATGACTAAAATCTTTAAACAAACAAACCCCACCTGGAGTACCAGCTTAAAGTTGTACTTGTGTGAGCTCTGGTTGTAAGCAACTCTGTTTTCAGCGAAAGTGTATTTCTTTACTAGGTTAATTTCTTAGGTGACCACTTTAAAGAAGTGCTTAAGAATGTGAACATTCCAAAAGGAGTAGTAAGTTTAACTTCATATATTCTCATAAACCTGAGCTACATTCAGTTTTGTTTCTTTCTGTTAACTTTAGTCTATTCATTTTCTTCACTCTGATGGCCATTTACCTGTCGACCTTTCCTCAGTGACAGTCCAGATGATGAGGAAGATGCTGTGATAAAATGATAATTAATAAGAAATTTGCTCTCCCACCTATCAGATGATTGTTTTGATGATCTGTGTCTGCTTATTTACATGAGGCTTTAAACGTTAAAATCGTACATAGCCTAATGGATGACTTTTTTCTTCACAGAGTTGTGGCTCTGAATTCCCACAAGTCTGAAAAAAAGAAGAAACGTTATAAAGATTCTCTTTCTCTAGCTGCCATGATACGAAAATTTCAGAAAGAGAAGGATGCATTGAAGAAGGAGCCTAACCCCAAAGTCCCAGTGAACTTAACGACCTCCTCTCTGAATAAACCCCCCTCCACTGCTGTAGCATTGGGAAATGATGTCCCGGACTTAAATCTGAACAGTGCTGATCCAGACCTCCCCATTTTTGTTGGCACAAATGAACATGAACTGTTTCAGGAAGCTGAAAATGCCCTAGAGATGCTAGATGATTTCGACTTTGACAGATTACTGGATGCTGCTTCTGATGGTAGCCCCCTCTCTGAGTCAGGGGGAGAGAATGGAAACACCACCCAGCCAACCTATGCCTCTCAGGTTATGCCCAAGGTAGTGCCTACACTCCCAGAGGGTCTACCTGTCCTTCTTGAAAAACGCATTGAAGACCTCCGTGTAGTAAGTGTAATAATCCCCTTGTTTCTTATTTGCTACATGAACTTAACAATAAATGCTTTTTGTAAGACAAAAATAATAACCCATAATTCCAGCACCCATATAAAGAACTTATAATTTTCTATATTTCCTTTTAGGCATTGGCTGTACACATAGGCCTTTGATTTTAAGTAGAAATATGTATAACTATAGTTATAGCATCATATGGGTGATCATTTTATTATTTTATTTCATCTTATACATTTTTTAAAGATTTATTTATTTTAGGGGCGCCTGGGTGGCTTAGTCGTTAAGCGTCTGCCTTCGGCTCAGGTCATGATCCCAGAGTCCTGGGAT